AGGAATTATTGGTGTATATCGCTTAGTTGCTGAGAAAATAAATACTTTCGGTGGTCTAGTCGCGCGCGCGAAAATGAGTAAAGTTCAACTTTAGCGGCCTATAACTTTTGTCGGGACCACGGGAAAATGTCGTAAAGCGAGATTCTGAAGGTTCAAACATTTCTGAACAAAATGGTGTGGGTCCCAATTCTTTCTACTCCGAAAAAATTTTTTGAACGATTTCGCGGATCTCCGTTGCACTATATGTGTACCATAAACTGCGAAATCCTAAAGCACAGTTATTTTTAGAACAAAGGGCTACTGTGTATTGTCATATTGTGTTGGTGTTATTCACAAGCTCCGACCTTGTGTGGGTGTTGATTGTGATGCGATTTCTTTGACTGTCTACTTTTAGTCCAAGAGGCAGCGACATTTTTTATGCACTCATTTCTATAAAGTTGATATTCTGCCATTTTGATAGTACGAGTAAACACAAAGTCTACCACTCACGCAAGATGCATAAAAAATTATTCAATTGAACTTATTTCTACATAGATGTTTCAAAAAGTTAATGTCATTTCAGAGGTGCGTAAAGTTAGCACCACCAAGTTTTCCAATCGAGCTGAAATGTTGCACACGTTTAGTGCTATAATCGTGCTATTTCGTGCTTTAATACCAAAATTCATGCTGCATAACAAAACAAGATATCTAAAAAAAACTGTTGGTGGTGCTAACTTTACACTAGCACCACCATGCTTTTTAATCTGTCTGTAATTTTGTCATAATTTAGTGCCCAATTCGTGATATTTCGTGCTGTAATACAAGAATTCGTGCTACATGTTGTAAAAAATTATTGTAAATCAACTGTGGTGGTGCTAAATTTACACTAGCACAACCAAATTGTCCGTTTAAGATAAAACTTTAAAAAAATTTAGTGCTCAATTCGTGGTATTTCGTGCTGAAATTCCAGCATTCGTGCTACATATTTTAAGCAGTTATTAGAAAAAAACCGTGGTGGTGCTAACTTTACACTAGCACCACCATGTTTTATAATCTATTTGTAATTTTGTCATAATTTAGTGCTACACGTTGTAAAAAGTTATTGTAAAAAACTGTGGTGGTGCTCAATTAACACTAGCACAACCAAGCTGTCCGATTGGGATAAAAACTAAAAAAAATTTGGTGTCCAATTCGTGCCATTTTGTGCTGCAATACAAGAATGCGTGCTATATATTTTAAACAGTTAATTAACCATTTAATTTCTAATTTTTGCTATTTTGTGCTAAAACTCAACCTCAAGCATACATCAGGGAAAACCGGGAAGATTTCTACCCACAGCTGATAGGAAACGTAGTGGAATTAGAAGCCCGGTATGAACAATATGCCAATATGGAGGAAAAGATCGAAGCATACCTCAGGGGCCACAGAAAGCAGGGATTCTGGGGAGGATACGAGTCACTGGTGGCGGCGGCCAATGCATACAACAGCCAGATAGTGATATACGAGGAAGGAGGGGGGAAGCATGTCATAGAACCAAGAGCAACAACGGGAGCCACAGGTCACTGCCACTTAGCATACAGATTAGGGAGTAACAATGTACGGAACCACTACGATAGCGTGGTGAGAGCAGAAAACATGATAGGGGAGATAGAGAAAGAAGAGGAGGAATACCGACGAACACGAGTGCTAGGGGAATACGAAGAAGCGAGAGGAGCCGCTGTCCCTAACGAATACAGTCTGAGTATGGTGTCCGGAAAGAGTGCCTCGCAGGGGAGAAGAGAAAACCAAGATAGGAGCCAAGATATAGAAGAAGACAGCAGCATGATGGTAGCCACGTGGAATGTGCAAGGGGCAAGCGACCCAAGGAAAAGGGAGCTAATTGACAATGAATTAAAGAAACAATGAATAGATGTAGCCAGTTTACAAGAAACCAAACTAGCAAGAGGGATGGCTGCGACCGGGAACTACGACTGGTGGATAGGAGAAGGGAAAAAGGAGAGAACCAGCAGGGGGGCGGCAATCGTAATCAGGAAGTAGCGAGGCATTGAGGTGGAAAAATTTGAAGAAAAAAGCGAGAGCATATGCATGGCCCAAATCAAGACGAGAATAGGAAGACTAACAATCGTAGGATGCCACATCCCCTCGGACAAAGAGGGCAGGCGGAACTTAGAAAGCTAAGTGAAGCAATAGAACAAAAGTGCGGAAAGAACCCGGGTATCATACTAGGCGACTGCAATGCGCAACTAGGCAAACTGGATGGAAGTGAAGACGAGGAACACGGTATAGGCAAAGCTATCAAGCACGAGCATGACAATGGGAACGGCATGCAGCGAGCTTAGGAACATGGTACACCTACATGGACAGAGGGTGGAAAACACATTCAGCAACTCCAAAATGGTGCTGACAACATGGAGGAGGGGAAACTCTGAATCGCAGATTGACCACATAATAAGGACGAAATCAAAGGAAATAAGAATCACGAACACAGTAGGCATATGGGCAAAAACAGTAGGATCGGACCACAAAATGGTAAGGGGGAAAGTAAAGAGGGGAGGAGGAAGAGAGGGGGAAGAAAAGAACAAGGAGCAAAGCGGGAGAACGGAATGGTGGGATGTGAAACTTCTGTCAGGGGAGAAGAAAAGGGAGGAGTACATAAAGGAGCAGGAAGAGATCAGAAACAAAAAGGGGGAAGGAAGACCATCTTGGAACAGGATCGCCGAAACGCTGAAAGAGGCAGCAGGGAAAACACTCGGGACACAGAAACCGCCCATGTCCCCGAACAGGAAACAAGCCATGGATAATCACAGAAGAGCAACCAAGAGGTTTGGGCAAAATCCACACAAACCTGAAACA